ACACGCAGCTACATTGGGTTTTCAGAGATGGATTTCGGAATTTTCCAGGCTTGTGTGTTGTACTCCTTGCTTCATGTCAATGAACTATGTTATAAACAAGCGGGCCTGGCTGTAGCTTGACCGTCAGAGCTGTTGTTGACAAAGAGAAGAACACGTTTGAACAAACAAAATGAGAACGGTGCATTCGGAGAGGCCGTGGAGCGTATGTGCCTGAGCTGGCCCCGAGAGGGTTCCCAGGGGGCTTGACCTGACAGTTCAGAGCCGCGGTATGTTCTTGGTCTGGGTCCATACACTGACAAGTCAACCCTGGCTTGCACACCAATGACTATAGCAGGCATCTCCGAATGTTTGACTTTTTTTAAAAAAAAGAAACTAGCTACAGCCTTTTAGAATTTATTGGAATCTTTTTGTTTTGTTTTTGTTTTTGAAACAGGGTTTCTCTGTAGCTTTGGAGCCTGTCTAGAACCTCTCTGTAGACCAGGCTGGCCTTGGACTCACAGAGATCTGCCTGCCTCTGCCTCCTGAGTGCTGGCATTAAAGACATGTGCCACCACTGCCTGGTTTGAATATTATTATTATTATTATTATTATTATTATTATTATTATTATTATTTTGGGTTTTTTTTTTGAGACAGGGTTTCTCTGTAATTTTGGAGCATGTCCTGGAACTAGCTCTTGTAGACCAGGCTGTCCTTGAACTCACAGAGATCCGCTTGCCTCTGCCTCCTGAGCGCTGGGATTAAAGACGCGCGCCACCACCGCCCGGCTGAATCTTCTTTTTCATTGACATAGTATTTGTACATATTGTGGAGTACGGAGTCATGGTTCGGTACACATGTGCAGAGTGCAGCAGTTGTATCAGGGTAATTAGCAATTCCTAGTGCTTCAAATATTTATCATTTTATGTCTGTTCCAGTTATTGTAGAATATATAGTGAAATGTTCCTAACTGAAGTTACCTTACAATGCTAAGGAACATTAGGATGAATCCTGCTTTAACTGGATTTTGGTAGCTATTTTCCAGCCCTGTCTCCCTTCCTGTCACTTCTGCTAGTTCCTGGTGTCCTCTGTCCTACAGGATATTCTGAGGGGACAAACTTCCTTAGCTGCCACCTGTGAATGAGTACTTCAGTATTTGTCTCTGAGGGCCTGACTTACTTCCCCCTGCAAAATGTCCATTTTCATCTACAGTGCTGCAGTTCACCGGGTTTTACTCTGTTTTTGTCGGAGAATGGATATTTACATATGACTCAGGTAATGATAGTCTAGATAGGTAGGTAGGTAGATAGATAGATAGATAGATAGATAGATAGATAGTCACGAGTCGTATTATCTGATATTATAATGGTAAAGATGTAGGTTCAAGCCTTCCTTCCTCCCTTCTTCCTTCCCTCCCTCCTCCCTTCCTTCCTTCTTCCGACAGTCTTACTATATAGCCCTGTCTGGCCTGGAAATTGCTGTGCAAAACCAAGCTGGTCTTGAACTCACAGAGATCTACTTACCTACACCACCATCTGTGATTCTTAGGTGAAGTTACGGTTGGTGTGTCAGAGACTGTGCTTTCTTCTGCAGCTTCCTAAAGTCAGTCGCTTTGGCTGTGGTCACTATTACTACAAGAATTTATTTTTTCATTTCTCCTTGAAAGTCTGGAGGGGCTGTTTGATCAAGATTTTCAGGGTGTGGATAAGGGGCAGACCTAAAGCAACAGCCTGGCCTGGCTTTTGTGGGTGGGTGATGGGAGTGGGGTGTTTGTTCTGTGACTTAAATTCTTAACGTCCCCCCTTTATCTAGAAGAAACATGGTTTATCATACTTGGATACTACCATGCCTGGCAAGGCTGAGGCAAGAGGGGCATGCTTTCTAGGCTAGCCTGTGCTAAACAGGAAGACTTGTCTCTGAAAATCCCCAATAACATCAAAATTTGGATCTCTAAAATAATGGATTTAGAAGTGTTAGGCACGGGGCCTTTGGGAAGAGACCAGATCCTAAGATGTGGGGAACCACAGAGTTCCACCCCCACCCTTCCCATACTGTGTGGGGACTCAATAAGAAGGCAGTTTTCACTTGAGCAGAAAGTGACCCTCACACATAGAAGAGCGGGCTTTGAACGTGGCCTCCTGGTCCTCAGGAACTGTATGATAAACTTCTATTGTTCATAAACCACACAGTTTATAGGACTTTGTTACAGCTTCCTGGATGACTAAGCCAGGGTGGAGGGACTGACCCTAGGCCTACTCCCTCTGTTTGCCCAAAGCCTCCTCCTGTCCTCTTCCCTCCCTTCCAGTGGCCTTCCTCATTGAGGGAGCCGTGGGACAGTTGACCAGAATGTGTTCTTCCATTCCTCGGGACAGTGACTCTTGCTTCCAGCTGCACAGTATTAGAATCCCCCAGGAAGTTAATCGGAAGCGGAAGAGGAAGCGGCAGGCTTGCCAGTAGAGAAGTCTGTAGTGAGGGCTGGCATTGGTGTGTGTAGAGAGCTTGCCAGATGAATTTCTCAGGGTCAGAACCTCCCCGCTCTTGCCTCACTACGGCACTGAGACCCGGAACTAGAAACTCAAAAAGGAGCCGCCTTCTAATACTGGTTGAAGATTCCTTACCGAAAATGCTCTAAAAATCAGAAGTGTTGGAGATTTGCTTTTAGAGTTTTGGATTGTTTTTCTTTTGGGGGAATATTTCTGGGCATTTAACCCACAATCTCACATATATGTTGGCCCGACAAGCTACCATGTGTGGTAGCTCCTGCCCTGGAATATTTATATACACAAAATGAGATCTGTTGGAGATGAGACCCAAATTTAATGATACAATTAATATATGTTTTATGTAGACCTTATGCCTGTAGCTCAGAGGATAGAGTGTTTGCCTGGCTGTGATCAATTCCCTCATAAAAATACACAAAGAGTGGTGGCCCCCATCTATGATCACAACACTGGGGGCATGGAACAAGAGGACTAGAAGTACAAGTCCTCAGATGGGTGGTGGTGGCGCACGCCGTTAATCCCAGCACTCCAGAGGCAGAGGCAGGCGAATCTCTGGGAGTTCAAGGCCAGCCTGGTCTACAGAGAGTTCCATGACAGGTTTCAAAGCTATAGAGAAACTCTCTCTCTCTCTCTCTCTCTCTCTCTCTCTCTCTCTCTCTCTCTCTCTCTGTCTGTCTCTCTCTGTCTCTCTCTCTCTCTCACACACACACACACACACACACACAACCAAGTGCAAGTCATTTTCAAACAGGGATTGGGGGGGCAGCCTGGACTATTATCTGTTTTATCAAAGTATCGTTTGTAATAGCAAAAGCAAGCAATCAGAAGAGACTGTCAATGAGCTTAGGCAAATGGAGCCAGCTGGAGTGGACATTCATTTGAGGAAAAACATTTTACATAGCAGTTGTATTAAGTTATATTTCGCATACCACACCAGTCACCTACGTAAAATTTGCCTTTTGGTGATATTTAGCACGTCGTGATTAGAGTAGCCATCTCCACCATCAACTCTCGGACGTTTTCACACCAGAGACATCTCAAAGCCAATCAGAGTCCCCGCAGATTCCTCTCCAAAGCCTCAGTGTCCTTGGTCTGGAAGGCAGGTCTCCCGTGAGTGGTCCCGTTGCTCCTCATGCCTAAGCCACCCTCTCATGAATCCCACTTTTAAAGCCAGCCCCGCGCATACAAGAAGCCTTCTGCCTCAGCTCCTGATTTGGCTGTCTTCACTTCCCTTCAGTCCTTGACCATGAAAACTTCCTGGTCAAGTCCCCGTGGCTAGCTTAATAGGCACTTCCCTTTTCCAAGATTTGCCATGCTAATCACTTCCTGTGAGAAATGATGCTACTTGCCCTCTGTGTTGAAATAACACCCTAGCACGGCCCTTGGCAAGGTGGGACAAAGGTTGTTTCTGAAGAAAGGAATTGCTTAGGTTTTTGAGGGACACAGTGTTCACCTTTACCTTCCAGAGAAGTCTAGTTTTTTTTTTTTCCCCCATGATCTGTCTCTGCCTGTCAGCCTGTGCTTTCCCAGAGAGTGATAATTTTTTTTTTAAATGCAGTCGGCTCTCAGTTGTCTTTTTAGAGCCTGTCCATCCTATTAGGTGTTCGGTTGCTCCTGCTTTACAGCGTCTAATTTAGGGAATTAAAACCGTGTTTTCCTTAAAGGGAATTCTGAACAGGAATTGTGCTTGCCACAGAAGCACACGAGCCTTAGTTGGATCCCAGCAACCACATAATATCCCAGGCTTCATAACACATGCCTGTAATACCATGACTGGGGTGGGGTGTAGGGGTACAACAAGTGACCCTGTGGGATTTACCAGCCAGCCAGCTTAGCCTTAGTGATAATGAAGGAGGTCAAGAATAGGAAGGTTCACGATCTGCCTTTTTATAATTAAAAGGCATGTGCCAGTGAGTGCATGAAATTTTATAAATTATAGATGAAAATGTAAACTTGATATGGCAGCCATATTTTGAAATCATCCACGTCTATGTTTAGGTAGTCTTTTTTTTTAATTAAGGAAAAGATACTTAATTTTTATCTATAGTAAGGATTTATTTTACTTTTAATTATTTGTGTGTATGTATGCGTGCACGTGTATGTATGTGTGTGAGTGCAGTACCTACAGAGTCCAGAAGAGGGTGTTAGAGCTCCTAAAGCTGTAAAAGTTATCAGTAGTTGTGAGACACTCAACATGGGTTCTAGGAAACACACTCTGGTCTTCGATGGTGGTGCATGCCTTTAATCCCAGCACTCGGGAGGCAGAGGCAGGCAGATCTCTGTGAGTTCGAGACCAGCCTGGTCTACAGAGCTAGTTCCAGGACAGGCTCCAAAGCCACAGAGAAACCCTGTCTCGAAAAACAAAAACAAACAAACAAACAAACAAACAAAAAAACAGCCAGTGTTCTTAACTGTTGGCCTGTCTCATCCTCCATCCTAGGAAGAGGTATTTTAACCCCAAACCCTGTGCTGGTCACATTCTAAATGTTCTTTTTTCCTCTTTTCTTGTTGTTTTTTTTAGTATCTACATAGAAGCACCGCGTTGACTTCATCTCGCCATGGAGTTTCCGAAGTCACCTGATGGCGGGTGGGGCTGGGTGATTGTGGCCGTCTCCTTCTTCACTCAGTTCCTCTGTTACGGATCCCCGTTAGCCGTTGGGGTCTTGTACATAGAGTGGTTGGATGCCTTCGGTGAAGGAAAAGGAAAAACAGCCTGGGTGGGGTCCCTGGCAAGTGGAGTCGGCTTACTTGCAAGTAAGTGGATCTGTTCATGTGTTTTCTTACTCTTTAATCCTTTAATTGCGTTTGCCATATCATCAACATTGCACGGGGCACGGAGGGCTTTTCCACATTTGAAGCCTAATGTGTATTTCCCTGCTCGTCACTGTCGAGATGTAACGGCTGTTCCTTGACTGTAATGAGTCTGTGTGAAAGTACGGAATTCCACAGGCCTACAGTTCATCTTATGATCAGCTTCCTCGCCAAAGTGACAGGCGGCATGCCAGAGGATGGAAACGAAAAGACGAAGCGCTAGAGAGATGGTTCTGTGGTTAAGAAAGCACACTGCTTTTGCTCCAGGGGAATCACACATGCCCTTCTGTCCTCTGTGGCACCCTCACACACATGTGAACACACACACACACACAGAGACGGAGGGAGAGATAGAGAGATACATGCATATACAGATAATGAAATAAAATAAAATCTTAAGAAACAAAAGGTTGTGCTGCAAACATACGTTTCCTGCCTCTAAAGAGGCTCACAGGGCATAGGGGCTGAGGAGATAGCTCAGATATAAAGTGCACATTGGGCACGAGGACTTCAGTTTGGCCCCCAGTACTCCACAGGAAAGCTGGCTGCTTTAGCGCATACTTATAATCCCAGAGCTGGTGAGGTAGAGACAAGTGGATCCCTGGGGTTCACTGACCAGGCAGCCTACTTAGCTTGGGTTAACTCTGGGTTCATTAGAGACTCTGTCTTGAAAAATAGGGAAGACTTAACATCTAAGAACATGAACAATAGTGTTGTCTTCCGACTTCCACATGTATACACACACACACACACCACACACACACACACCACACACACACACACACACACACACACACACACACACACACACACACGGCTCACCATCTAACAAGGAGCATACATCGTCCCAGGGATCTAATAATTCAGAGGATGTATGCAGTGGGCTGGCATGGTCACGGTATGCAGGCGATCTCCGTGTCTTCCAAGCTCTGACCTGTCTAGGATTCCGCACTAGGTTCTGTTCACGTGCCCATCAATTACAAAGACCTCCTCAGAAAAGTATCGCACAGCAAGGGCAGTCGTATCTCCCGTAGTGATGTTCTTTAGGCTTTTCACAGGGCTTATGTGTAGATCTATTTTGGTAAACAGTAGTTTGCAGTGTAATGGTGATTTCCGTGCTTAAAGCAAACAGCAAAGGATTTTAAAAATTTATCTTTTTGACCATGAATATCATTTATCACTTCGGTGCCTGGAGTCACAATTGAATTCTGCAGTAATTCTTAATGACTATCTCTCTACCTTCTCTGGCATTATTTAAATACCAATGGACTGATGATACAGGCAGAGGTGGATAGGTACTCCTGTAGCCCCTTCCTGTGTGCTAAGACAGGCAGAGATGGGATGGTACCCGTGGAGTCTTCCTGTGTGCTACGAACTTACCATGATTCCAGGAACAAAACCTAGTCTCTAAACTAGGAAGAAACTGGGAACATTGGGTGTGGTGGCTCATAAGGGGTGTTTAAGTTTTGAAATGGATTTATGAAAGTCTGCTTAAAACAAGCCTGCATTAGTCATCCTTTTAAGATATGTCTGTCTCTTAGCTATTAAGGGGGTTGCTGTGGGGAAAAAAAAAACCAATTGCATCCCTTTTTAATACCAAAACAAGACGCATAGTCTTGGGGACAACCCTGCAGTCTCCTCTGGCCTTCTTAGAAAAGATAACTAAACACGATTAAACAAATGGAGAAAATTGTGATGTTCCAGAATCAAGAGAAACGGGAAATTTGTCCAGGATTTGTTTGAAAACATTTTTAAAAAATAAAGATTGCAAGGCTGGAGAGATAGCTCAGTGGTTGAGAGCACACACTGTTCTTGTAGAGGACCCAGTCTGTTTAATAGCCATATGAGGTGGCTCACCACTGCCTGGAATATTAGTTCCAGCGGAATCCAATGTCCTCTGGGCTCCTTTGACACCTGCACATACATAGGGCACATACATACACATAGGCACGCACACATACATGTGCAGTTGTAAAATTAAAAGAAAGACTCCTTGTAAAATTGTCAAAGCACAAGAGGCTAGTACATTCATAGAGAGATTTGAACACATGGCCTTCTAGAAAACAACCTGGTGTGGATAGATCTCACAGAGTTTTCTTGTATTTCGTCATTTCTATTAGCAAATTCTTCCACAGAACTGTAATTATCAGGGCTTCCAGAAAAGAATCAAAGGATAATTCCAAATATATTCCCCTTAGCATGTGGTAAGAGGGCCAGGCTTGTTCTGGGGTTGGTTCGGGAGGAAGAAGAGAGAGATGTGGAGTGTGTGCATTGATGTAAAAGCTGAAGTTGACGGCAGCTGGGATGTGGAACGTGGACACTGGTGTAGAAGCTGAAGTTGGTTTCCCTTAAAAACTGACCCGTAAAGCCAGGTGGTGGTGATGCACGCCCTTAATCCCAGCACTCAAGAGGCAGAGGCAGGCGGATCTCTGTGAGTTCGAGGCCAGCCTGGTCTACAAGAGCTAGTTCCAGGACAGGCTCCAAAGTGACAAAGAAACCTTGTCTCAAAAAAACAAAATAAGGCATAAAAACAAAAACCAAAAAACCAAAACTAACCTGTAGCTCCACAACATCTCCATATCCCCGGGTCAACATCTCCAAGTTCCTAGGTTGACCACATTTGTCTCAATGTCCAGGAGCAGCTATCTTCAGTTTAAATAGGACTGTCTACATAATTTATGAACCCCAGAAAGATATGAAAACAGAGAGTCCTTTCTTAAGAATTCCTAAGAAGAATTTCATGGCAGTGACAGCTGATCATAGCCCTAGAAGCTGGGCCTTATCTAGTCGAAGAAGCCAGCTTGGCAATTCATCTTAATGTTTGCCCTTTGGAGCCATTAGGTTGCTTTGACACAGAATCAAGCCAGTCCTCTACCCACTCTTGAGCCACTCAAGAGCCCCAGTACTGCCTCTTGCTCTACCTTAGAGTTCAGTCCTTCAGGTCTAGGCTTCTGTGATGCTGAACCTGCCCTTCCAAGTCTCTTAAGATGTTTAGGAATGCCAAGAATTCTGGCTGTGTTTTGAATGCAGCAGTTGATGATCTGTGCGCCTGCTCACATCTTTCTAGAACAACACAGAGAAGGAAGAGCACGCTAGGCTGGTCCTTTGGAAGAGTTAAGCTCCCAATCTATTTGGGTATTAGCTATCTGATCTGATTTCTGATTTTCTCTTAAATGATAGTATTTCTCAGGCATGAGCCCATTTAAAAATACACAGAGACCGTTGCAAACTTCATTTTGTACAGGCAAATTTTTGGCTGCAAACTCTGTTGTCTGTGTGGCACAAATTACCTTTCATGGGGCATCCAGGAAATGCCAAGTGTATGCGGAAATCACTTGGGCAGCATGAACTCATTTTCTTAACACAGCTCTCTAACCTCCTGATGCTCTCAAGAACATTAATAACAAATTATCTCATTGATCTTGAAGTGTTTGTCAATGGGCTGCTATTATATATATATATATATATATATATACACACACACACACACACACACACATATATATATGGGACTATTAAAGTAAAAGTGAATATATCTAAATGAGGCAGATCAAATTGCTGGCTTTTTAGAAAAATGAACTTTTCACTTCCTTCAAGCAAAAAAAAAATTGACAAATATATGGAATTTGAAACATAAAAAAAATCAGGAAGAGAACCAGTACTCCAAAGGATCTGGGGTGAAGTCAGAGTCGATCTCCAGTCCTGGCTCAATCACCTTTTAGTCAGGTGATTTTGGGCAGGCCATTTATTCACCTTCTTTGGGCCTGATGCCAGCTACAAGATGAGGAGGTATTTGGACTTTTCAACTTAAAGCTTTTGAGGATGAACATAGAAAAGGGAAATTTTGAGAGCTCAAGGAAGAACTTGTTAAAAATAAGTGGTAGAAGAGCAAACACATGTGGAAGTGTGTATGTATGTGTATGTGTGTAGTGTGTGTGTATGTGTGTGTGTATGTGTAGTGTGTGTATGTGTGTAGTGTGTGTGTATGTGTGTGTAGTGTGTGTGTATGTGTGTGTGTAGTGTGTGTATGTGTGTGTGTAGTGTGTGTAGTGTGTGTATGTGTGTAGCGTGTGTGTATGTGTGTGTATGTGTGTATGTGTGTAGTGTGTGTATGTGTGTGTTTAGTGTGTGTATGTGTGTATGTGTGTGTGTAGTGTGTGTGTAGTGTGTGTGTGAGTGAGTGTGTATGGGTTGAGACTTCTTAAATACCAAGGTGACTAGCAAGAGTGGTTCCATCTCTTGAGTTTCTTGACTAAGGATAAAGTTAACCTAGGTAGGTAAGACCCCAGAAAATCGTGTTTATTTGGAGGCTAATTGAGATTGCAACCCAAGCAAACAGGCTTAAAGAGCCTTGACAATGTGCTCTGGAGTTTCCCAGATTGTAGCCCTAGTCATAGCCAAGCGCTTGGAAGTTGCCTGACTTGTGAGTCAGGACTTCTGATTGGCACTGAGGGCAGTTGGGCTGTTTTGAGTGAAAGACGAAGTCCGGGTCCTTCGTGGGGAGGAGATTCTTGTTCTGAAGGTTAGTGGAGCTTAACAGTGCTTTGAAGGTCCAGTTGTGCCTAAGGTGGGTGTGCCTGGGCCTCGGTCAGAAGTTCAGCTGTGGACGGTGTTCTCTGTAGTGTGATTGACTGCTTCAGCTATGATTTCAGTGTCCTGCCTCAGGGCTGGTGTGTGCGTTGGTACATGACCTTCTGGATGCATATAGAGATTGCAGATCAACTTTAAATTCTTCCCTAGGTGTTAGCCAGCTTCAATTCTCAGATTCTTCGAGGTAGTTGGCCAATGAGTTTTTGGGAACGTCCTGTCCTTCCTCTCCCAGCACTTGGATTACAGCATAAAGCACCAAACCCTTCTTTCTAGAAGGTTCTGGAGAGGAGCTCAGGTTTTCATGCATAGCAAACACTTTATCAACTGAGTGACCTCTTCAGTCCTCATTTTCATATGTGTGTGTGTATGTATGTATATGCGCACTATATCTATCTATTTATATGTTTCTTTTTTTTTTTTTTTAAACAGTTTCTCTGCTTTGGCTGTCCTAGAACTTGTGCGGTAGGCTAGGCTGGCCTCGAACTCACAGAGCCCCACTTTGCCTCTGCCCCTCAAGTGAGTAAAAACATGTACCACCACTACCTGACCCTCTTTCTGTTTTCTTGACTAGTGTGGAGATTGTCTGAGGTGGGTGGGCTGCCAGAAGGATGGATTGTCATGAGTAGCCAGGCAGGGAAGCTAGCAGGCCTTGCCAAATTTTTGGGTGCTGAGACCTGGGGTCTGTGCTGTTCACAACACATTGTGGTGAGATGAATTTGGCTGAAGAAAAGGGCTTATGCCGGGAGACGAGATGGTTGGTTTTCTGGGTCAGTTTGGTTACATTCATCCTCTGGTTACTCAAGTCCTAAAGCTGGCATTGCTGGGAAGGTTTTTTTTGTTTTGTTTTGTTTTTGTTTTAAGACTCAATTGGCTTTCAGAGAGAGAGTTTATCCTAGATAATCAGGGTGGACTCCAGAAGAGAATGGAGCTTTCCCAGAAAACAACAGTTCTGCCCGAGGCCTGCAAGCTTCAGCCTATACCCGGGAGTTCCAGCTGGCCCCTCCTGGTGGCTTGCCCTTACGGATCTCACTTAGACTTGCCTACCTAGGCAAGTATCGCCTGGCCCTTAGCCCACAGATCCCTCTCAATAAATCTTAGTGTCTGTTTCCTGTCGGTGTAGTTTCTGTGGGTGATCTGGACGAGCATAGAAGGAGTGGCTGGTCACTGAAGCAGAGGACAGTAATGGCTTGGCAGTATTCTGAGAGGTGCTAAAGCAACCCCCCCCCCGCCAAACACACACACACACACACACACACACACACACACACACACACACACACACACAGTCCCCATGTCATTCTCCAAGTTCAAGGAGAAGAATGGAGTCAACCTCATTGCTGAAACAATGGAAGGACGCTTTTCATCCTTTAGTGTGAGGGTCAAGGCGGAGTTAAGGCAGCCCCCTTCTCCCCGTTTTGATTCTTAATTCCTCTGGCCTGCCAAGCACCTGCCAGCATGAGTCAGTAGAAGACTAAGCCAGCGCAGGCAAGTGTACCGGCTCAGAGTGCTGTGAGGGCTGTCGGGCTGCCTCTGAGGACTAGCCCTGAGCTGCCAAGGATCCTTAACTCCTTCAAGGTCTGACTTCCACCCTCTGTGGGAGTCTGTGGCAGAGGCCAGTCCCCATGTACTAGGCCTTTCTGGGCCAGTGGCTAAGTGAGTTTTGGTTACTTTTTTTGGGCACCAATTTGTACAAATATCAGCAGGCCAACCAGCCAACAAAGTCAGTCAATGTATATGTGATCCAAGATTATCTTTCTGAGGGTGAATCTGAAACCCACGATGTCAGTGGGGTGAAGAGTCTGCCACCCTGGGCTCCTTGTGGTGGAGGAAGACTTAAGGCACTCATGTGCCTCGGATCATTCTGTCAGAAAACCCTTGCTGCACACCAGGCCCACAGCTGTTTGCCGCTGTATTTTTTCCCTCGTTGTATGCTGGCTAACTTATGGCTTTGACTCAGCAGTCCTGGTTGGCCTTTGATTTTCTGGGTCCTCAGAAACTTTTTAGGAGAGATAAATACAAGGAGAGAAATGTAATGACTGTCTCTCCCCCAAAAAACATAATTTCTTTCTTAGAACTACATATTCTGTCTTTTTGTTTGTTTGTTTTTAGTTTGCTTTGGTTGTTTGTTTGAGATAGAGTCTCACTTTGCAGTCTTGGCTGGTGGAACTTGTTAATGGAGACCAGGCTGGTCTAAGAACTCACAGAGATCTGCCTGCCTCTGCCTCGTGGGTGCTGGGATTAAAGGTGTGCGCCACCATGCCCGGCTTCATTCCTGGTCTTAATGAGACTTCCTTCCAGGTTTTAAAGAGAAGCCTCCCCTCCCTTTTAAGGCCCTGTCACATTTAGACCTCCACTTATTGCAGCGGCTCTCAACCTTCCTAACGCTAAGGCATTTTAATACAGTACCTCATACCGTGGTGACTCCCAGCCATAAAATTATTTTATTCCTTGCTTCATAGCTGTAATTTTGCTACTGTTATAAAGCATAATGTAAACACCTGTGCTTTCTGATGGTCTTAGGCCACCTCTGTGAAAGGGTCCTTCAACCCCCAAAGGGGGTTGTGACTCGCAGGTTGAGAATCACTGATTTATTTATTCTATTATCTCTGTCTGATACTCACTCACATTTAATCATGGTCTGGAGGCCTCTCATGCAAACAAACCTCATTCCCAAAGGGAATGATCTCTGTGTTAGCTTCCCCTTTCTTCCTTTCTCATTATAACATGACTTCTGAAGCCATGAGAATCTTTCCCTCTGTGTTTGCTTTTGCATCCCGTTTGTGACTGGAAACATACTTCACTGCCTTCTCAAGGCTCAGGTTCTCCAAAATCCCCCAAACACCCTGTAACCTGCCTTTATTTCAGGTGATGGAAATATTCTAAAGAGATTCTCCTGTCCCTTTCTTTGAGGTTCAGGCTTTGGAAACAATGGACTCTCAGAAATTAAAGTTTCCTCAGGAACCTCCTATTGAGAACCGACAGGGCTGAAACTGGGGGAATCCAGAGGAGGAATTGTCTCCAGAGAAGCATTTACATCCTGTGACCTGACCTTTCTGGAGAGACTTGGAGCTGAGGCCAGGGTGGGCAGAGATCACTGCTGCTGGACTGTACATAACTCTGGCTTTCTATTTAACCCTCCACCCTCATTTCAGGACCCCAGTCCCCGGCAGGGTTGGGAAGGTCACTGGATCTCCTTATCTCTCTTTCCACTCTGGTCACATTAATAAATCCCCCCTTTCTGCCTTTCCCTATTAATTTGGCTCATTTAATTGGCTTATTGAGGGCAGGGGACCAAACAGGCTCACTGCGGCTCTGCCTCTCTCTCATGGGCCTCATACTGGCTTATATTTTGAAGTGGTATCCTCACAACTATTACCATTTCCTTTACCGGGAGAATCTTTACTCCCCAGTGGAGCAGCGCTGATCGTTGGTTACTCTGTTTGACATATCTCAAACTGAACTACCAGCAAGCCTCCCTTTTCATCTTCATCATTTCCCATGGTTCATAATTTGGGCAAACCGCGTTCATTCCAAAGGTCTTTTCTACGGAGTGGAAGACTCAAAGCCACCTAAGAAATCTCCCTGGGGAACAGTCCTTTGACTTGTTTGATTGAAATCTGGGACTGGCCTGGTGCTGAGGAACAATGCTTGGTTATTGTAGTAGAGATCTTGTTTGTTAAGATAGAGACTCGTAGGTGTGTCCTGTTCCGCAGGGCTGGACTTGACCAAGTCTGGCTACACTTCACTGGCTTGGGTACATTCTGTGAAGATCATTACCCCCATCGTTCCCACCTTCGTATCCCACCCGCTGTTTCCTTGTAAGCTTCAGGCGCATGAATTAGAGCATCGTCACATTTGGAGAACACAGAGTGAGCCAACCAAGGACACTAGTTATGCCTGCTAGGGGTTTTGTCAGCTTGATGCAAGTTAGGGGGGGGGGAATCTAGGAAGAGGGAAACTCGGATTGAGAAAAAGCTGGCATCAGATTGCCCTGTGGGCAAGGCCGTGGGCATCTTCTTGATTAATGACTGATGTGATAGGCTCCAGGCCACCTCTGTGCATGGGGCCGCCCCTGAGCACCATTCTGGGTGGTTCAAGGAAGCAGGCTGAGCGAGCCACGGGAAGCAAGCTTGTAAGCAGCATTTCTCCCGATCTCTGCTTCAGCTGCTGCCTCCAGGTGCCTGCCCAGACGTCCCTTCATGCTGGCCTGCAAGCTTTGAGGTTCTTTGTCCTGACATGCACTAGAAAGGCACCTTCCTGGGATTTCTCTTTCCTTCCACATGAAACGAGCTTATTGGGCCGGACTCTTCAACATTCTTCATTTCCAATCTGCTTGGTGCTTGGATTCTAAGCGTTTCCTCTGGCACAGCGCCAGCGAGACACAATCTGTCTCAAGACCTGTTTCACACACGGTGGTTTTCCTTTACACTGAACAAATACAGGCACGGATATCTTCTGACCATTGGTCAGCCACGCACAGAACTGCAGGAGGTGACAACTGTTGGTCTCAATTTGCAGAAGAGGAAACTAAGCCTCGGGGAGTGCGAATCTGTTGCCTGAGATACAACAACTTGACAAGAGGGAAAGCCAAACCCTAGCTCAAATCTGACTCCAGTAATCACTTTTCTCCACAGTGAACTCACCAGTGAACTCACCATCCTTTTATTTAAATAAATAAAAAAAAAGGAATAGCAACAGTATCTACTTTCCAGGGCTGCAATAAGGCTAATTGTGGAGTGTGACTGTTAGTCAGAGTAACTCATGTATTGTCTAGCATATAGCAGCATCTAGCGTGCAGTAGCGTCCAGCGTGCAGCAGCATCTAGCATGCAGAAATGTCTAGTGTGCCGCAGCATCTAGCATGCAGCAGCGTCTAGAGTGCTCAGAACTGTAGGTGTTGCCTTCCTGGGTTGCATTGTGATGGAGCCGTTTTGAACTGACAGTGGATGGATCATGTGGTCGTAAGAAAGGGGTCACTGCTCCATAAGTGAAGGTCTCAATTTCTTTTAGGTCCCGTCTGCAGTCTCTGTGTGTCATCTTTCGGAGCGAGATCCGTCACCATCTTCAGTGGCTTCCTGGTGGCTGGAGGCCTGATGCTGAGCAGTCTTGCCCCCAATATCTACTTTCTGTTTTTTTCCTATGGCATCGTCGTAGGTAAGGAACCTGGCCCCCATAAGACTTCCAGCTCCAGCTCCGCACCATTTCACTGGTGTCTTCTTTTTTTATTAAATTAATCCGAGGAGGGAACGCCTCACGTTCAGTGACTACCTCTAAAAGTTGTTACTTTGGGAATTATCTGCCCGTTGAATCCAAGCGCTGGCAGAGTTAACCACATTAAATTTTGTTGTTGTTGTTCTTTTAGGATTTTATGTGTATCGATTTTTTATTTTTTGCCTGCATGGATGTCTGTGTGCCATGCATATGCCTTGGTGACCAGGGAAGTCAGAAGGGAGCAAAGGCACACCTGGAACTGGAGTTACAGTTATGAGCTGCCATGAGGGTGCTGGGAAATGAACCCAGGTCTTCTAAAAGAGCAGCCGGGGAGAGAGATGGCTCTTACTGCTGAGCCATCTCTCTAGCTCTAGGATAAACACATTCAACAGTCCCCCTATGCCCCACTGCGGGGAACAGGGAGAGATTTCAAGCTTTCCTCTCTATATTTCTGCAAGGAAAAGTGAGACAGGAGGAACATAAACTCAGATGTTCCTGATGTTGGTCACTTCTCTCTGTTTGCTGCTGGGACTTCAGCACCAGTGGGCAGTGGAGTTTCAGTTTGTGGCCAGTACCCAATCCAGAAGTTCCGGTTGACATCTAAGGTGGGATTTTTAAAGATGAGGTGTGAGAGTGAAGAGGATGGCAGAGTGGGGATGTTTGATGACGACTTAGTAACGGATGACTAGCGAGCCTGGACCACGCAAGAGTTCGTGAAAATCCCTTTGTAATATACTGTATTTAAAGATGTTTGATGTTGAAAACCGCTAGGCCATGGCCATAGGAGTTCCGACCTGGTTCTGTTATTTTAATTATGCAAATGAGATGATGGCCGGTTCTTGTATATTCACCTTGGCAAACGTAGTGCCCTAAGCTTCTCCCCCCAGTCCTCACTTAAAATGGTTTTATCATCAAAGTCAATGATATATTTTTTTTCTTCTTTTTCGTTTTCTTTAGTCAGGGTTTCTCTGTGTAGCTTTGGAGCCTGTCCTGGAACTTGCTCCTGTAGACCAGGCTGGCCTCGAATTCACAGAGATCCGCCTGCCTCTGCCTCCTGAGTGCTGGGATTAAAGGAGTGCAGCACCACCGCCTGATTGTTTTTCTTCTCTTTGTGAGACAGGGTCTCACTATGTAGCCTTGGGTGGTCTGCCTCCTGAGCGCTGGGGTTAAAGGTGTGTGCCACCAATTCTAGCCAAAGATGGAACTGATTCTCCTGGCTATGCAGTTGTGTTGAGCAACTATGATGTTGGGTGGGTTGCGTTTGTTTTGTTTTGAAGCAGGATCTCCTTATGTGACCCAGTCTGCTCTGAATTCTAGATCTTCCTGGCTCAGTTTCCCTGGTTTTGAGATTACATGTGTGCACCACCATGTCTGGCTACTAATTACGATTTTTAGTATTGCCTGAGGCTAGGTGCTGGAGAGATGGCTCAGTGGTTAAGAGCATTGCCTGCTCTTCCAGAGGTCCTGAGTTCAATTCCCGGCAACCACATGGTGGCTCACAACCATCTGTAATGAGGCTCTTCTGGCCTGCAGGCATATATGCAGACAGAATATTGTATACATAAAAAGTTAATAAATAAATATTTATAAAAAAAAAAAAAGAACAGTATTGCCTGAGGCTTTTTCTTTACGGATACAGTCTATGACTGTATAAGCCATGGACTCGATTGAAAAGTACAAGCTAATACCAAGACAGCAGCCGCTTTCAGTGCTACATTCTAGGTACGGATGATGCATGTTTACATTTTCAATGTCCTTTAATCCCATGTGATTGTGCCAAGTGTCAGGAGCGAGAATCCAAGAGTCGTGGCACTGGTAGAAGGATGGACTTCTCTGTGAGTAACCGGCCCCACAGCAGAAGCAAGGGCACTGACAATGTGAAGCCGGTGTCTGGTGCTGGCGTACTGTGTGTCTGTGCAGAGAAAGGATGCAGGGATGGCCATGGGACCCGAGTCTCTAGGGACAGGTAGGATGTGGTCAGTGGATGGTCCCTGGAAGAGAATTGAGGGTAGTGGAAGACACCTAGAGCCAAACACTCAGACTGGGATGCGGTGGGTACAAACAGCAACCTTTTAAAGAGTCAATGTGTGTTTGTGTGCAGTGCCTGCAGAGGCCAGAAGGGGGCATCATATCCCCAACAGCCAGAGTTCCAGGTGGTTGTGAGATGCCTGGGAAACCAATCTCTGGCAGAGCTGCTCGTGTCCCAGTCCCCAACAGCTGCCTTTCCTACATATTTTTGTTGTTGTTTTGTTTTAAGGAATGCATATGTCACCTAGGAAGTTGCAGATATGTCAAAGCATCTGTTAGAACCCCAGCGGGGACACGGTGCGTCTTCTGTCATTTTTATTGCAGAAGCATACAGTGATGTGTGCCACTAGGCAGCAGCTTATTGCGCTGAAGGCTCAGGGAGCTAGGGGGAGGTCAGAGTTCAGAGGAGAGGTGCTGGGATGAACTGGCAGCGGGTGGTGGATCCTTCGAGTTGTGGGTGTGATAAGGGGCTTAGACTCTGGCTGACTCAGACGTCCTGCTGCATAGCTGCAGGAGAGTCTTCCAGGATCATCTGGGTTTATGCAAGGATTGAAGAGCGTGGCAGCGGGGATGCACACAGCTTCGGCAATGACGGGTGTGCTTCAGGAAGTCTATAAAGGGGAGAGAAAGAGAATTATTGAAGTTGTTTCCAAGCAAAAATCCTTGGCTATGGGGATCTGTCCTAAGGTGGCCATGGTCCAGAATGAAAGTCTTGCTGGGCAGAAGTCCTTGTTGGCAGTGCTTTTTGTGTGTGGTCACCATGGCCTCTGTGCAGGACGTGGGTTGCAGGGTCATTTGTGAATGACTTTTGACAGTTCTTTCTCTCAGGGGTACGTGTCCCAGATCCCGGTCTTCATACTCTTCCTATTTATTTATTTATTTATTTATTTATTTATTTATTTATGTTTTATGGCTTGATAAGAACGACTCCATTTTGATTCCATTTTCTCAGAGTGGGGTGATAGAGAGAGAGAGAGAGAGAAAGAGAGAGAGAGAGAGAGAGAGAGAGAGAGAGAGAGAGAGAGAGGAAGGAGAAGAGAAGAGAGAGATTCTGGAGTTGGTGTCTCATCCAGATGTAGATGATCAAGCACATTCTAGGTGGAATAAACACTCATTAGGCCACAGAGTTACATTTTATGTTCGCTTGTTTAAGCAAAAGGAACAGAGACATGACACTTGTGTTTATGCCTTGAATACTCAGCAGTACAGGCTTTAAAAAATTCATCTGTCTCTTCATTGTACATGGGACTGCGTCACACAAGAACAAGTTCATATTGTATTTTACACGTTCCCTTCAGCCTCCTCTTCTCTCCCCTCCCCTCCTATCAGCCCCCCTCCCCTCCCTCTCCCATCAGTCCCCTAGACAGTTGCCCTAAACTCTAGAAGCCACGGAGGAGAGAAAACATGATGTTTCTGACACTGGCTGAATTTGCCTAACTGTGGTTATTTGATGTTGAAATTATTATGCTTTTCTGGAGTTTTCCCCCTGCTAGAATTTGATCAGAGGTGCCTGGCTACCAGAGAAGGCTTTCAGACAACAGTTTGGAGACTTTAGCGTCTTGGAACTTTTTAATTTCCTTCCTCAGGACTCTAAGGAACTTCAGATGATACGGAGCATACATTTATTTAGTGTATTATGTTTTAACACATTACATATAAAATATAATACATTTGCGACTTGGGAGATGCTTTTTGGTTTTTCGAGGCAAGGTTTCTCTGTGTAACATCCCTAAGTTGTCTTAGAACTCATTCTGTAGACCAGGTTGGCCTCGAACTCACAGAGATCTACCTACTTCTACTTCTCAAGTGCCGGGATTAAAGGTGTGCGCCACCACTGTCCAGCAGCCCTTACATGCTTCTTACTCCGATCAAGTTGAGTCAGGATTTTCCACCCCACTCTGGCTTTCTAGGAGACAATGTTCTCTGTGTCTGTCTACTCAGCCTGCTGCAGTGACTGGTTTTTGACTGAAGTTACGTGAGAAAAATACAGACCTTCATGCACCAAAAAAGTATTTGGAAAAGGAAAGCATTTTCCTTTAAGATTTATTTTATTTTAAATTCCATGCATCTGTCCTAAGGGGCTATGTACTCATGCATGCAGGTGCACACGGTGGCCAGCAGAGGGAGTCAGATCCCTCATAGCCTGAGTTGGGCAGTTGTAGTTTGTCTGATGTGGGTGCTGGGAATTGAACTCAGGTCCTATGCAAGGTCCTATGTACCCTCTGAACAGCTGAGCCATCTCCCCAGCCCCAGAGAAGAGCTTTTTTTTTGTTTTTTTGTTTTTTTCAAGTAACTATAGATATTTTTTTTTTCTTGATACCATTGCAAAACGGTAAAAAGCAAATTCAGGGAAGCCAAATGAGATAGACGCTGATGGAAGACCAGCAACTAGTACCAGATTTCACCGGTACTCACAGAGACTAAAAGATAAAACCAAAGAGCTAGACGTGACCAAGAGACCTGAGATATAGGCATGATTAAGTAGTTTGTTTGTTTGTTTGTTTGTTTGTTTGTTTTTCAAGACAAGATTTCTTTGTAGCTTTGGAACTTGTCCTGGAACTAGCTCTTGTAGACCAGTCTGGCCTGCCTGCCTCTGCCTCCTGAGTGCTGGGATTAAAGGTGTGAGCCACCACCGCCCTACATGTTTTTTCTTTTTTCTTTTTCTTTTTGAATTATTCTTTTGTACCTCAGATATTGGGCAATTTCTATTTTTGCTTGACTCTGATGTTAAGGCGGGTGAAGAAAAATGCTGCTTCTCAGATATCCACTGAATCCCCAACACTGACAGAGGGGTCTGGGGACTCTGATGTCTAGGCAACAGGTTCCACAGCTTCCGGGTGGGGACCCTTCATTTTCTTCTTCTGCATTGAAGCTGTGCACTGCTCTAAACTCCTGCTGTCTTCTTACGTGCAGGTCTCGGATGTGGCTTGTTATACACCGCGACAGTGACCATCACGTGCCAGTATTTTGACAGCCGCCGAGGCCTCGCGCTTGGCCTGATTTCAACAGGTACTTTTTCAAAATTAAGTACAGTATAGTCACAAGTTAACATTTTAAACAGAACAAAGAGGTCTGAAACATGTGTGTGCAACCAGCCTCTGCCCAGCAGCCAGTCAGTCAGAAAGCAAAGTGGGTTTTTTTTTTTGTTTTTGTTTTTTTTTTTTTTTTTTTTTTTTTTTACTAGCACTCCTAGAAGGAAAGTTTATTTTCTACCATAAATATAGGAATAGCTCTCAAAAACCCTGAAACCCAAGCCAGGCAGTGGTGGCACATGCCTTCAATTCAAGCACTTTTGTAGCACAAATAATAAAAGGGAAAATGGAAACTCTCCTCAGCAGCAGAGCCTTCGAGAGGTCAGGCGGTAGAGCATGGGACTCTTAATCCCAGGGTCATGGGTTCAAGCCCCACGTTGGGCCCCAAAAGTAGAATGATAATAAAACCCAGAGACAGATATTGAGGTTCTGTCCGAAAACCAGAAAAGCAGAGCAGCCAAGCTATTAGAGAAGTCTTACCTCTACTAGGGCTGGGCAACTGCAGACTATACAGACTAAGCCTTTTTTCCTCATATTTTATATTCCCTCCAGTGCTGGGATTAAAGGTCTGAGCCACCACCACCTGGATTTGTTTCTGCATTGCTCTTGTGTAGTTCAGGGTAGCCTTGAACTCACAGAGACCAGCCTGTCTCCCAAATCCTGGGATTAAAGGTGTGGACCACCACTGCCTGACCTCTAGTGGCTTAGCTTTGCTTTTCTGATCTTTAGGCAAGCTTTATTTATTTAAAAAAAAATTTACTATACACCTGGAAGGCAGAGGCAGATGGATCTCTCTGAGTTTATGGTCAGGCCAGCCTGGTCTACAGAACAAGTTTTAGGACAGTCAGAGCTACACAGAGAGACCCTCTCTCAAAAAACAACAACAACAACAAAATAATCACCACAAAACTCAAACAAACAAGCAAAAACAAACAAACAAACAAGAAAACCCCCAGATCCATAAATGACAGACCTGAGTACTAGACCTCAGAGTGATGACTGCTGAAGAAGCTTCTAGTTGTTCCCAGGTTGTCTGCAGCTCTCTGCAGAAGAGCACTTGGATGAAAGTGTCTGCTCTAGGAAGAAGGAAGGACGGGCGGGAAACAAGAGCTGCAGCTACTGTCAGAGTTTGAGGTCAGCCTTACCACGTGGTGAAGCACAGAATCCTGCCTAAAGCCCTGCTCTCTGAGCATGGCTCACTCGCCTAGCTACACATCCAAGCCACCCACACTCTTGTTTTTTTTTTTTTTCTCTAATAATTAACACATGATAGCTGAAGGCGTAAAATAGCATATAAAAATATAGATTTTAAGCCCTACGTGGGAGTCTATATTTTTTAATTCAAAAATCTGGGGCAGAAGGTTTGTGACCATGGATTCAGCCTGGGCTATATGTAGTGAGAACCCTGTCTCAGACAAACAAAGAAAAACATATATGTTTTATATGTAATCTGTGGCCTCCTCCAGGTATTTTGGGGTGGTAGTTCATGTTTTAGATGGATTTAAAACACTTTTAAGGTAGTGTCAATTTCTGTGACTGATGTTAGAGCAGTCAGTCTATTTAGGACAGTGTTTCTCAGCCTGCCGGTCTTGACTCTTCTGGTGGGTTGAAGGACCCTTTCACCGGGTTGCATATCAGATATATTTGCATTATGATTCATAACAGTAGCAAAATTATAGTTATGAAGTAGCAATGAAAATTATTTTGTGGTTGGGGGAGGTTCACCACAATTTGAGGAACTGTATTCCACAAGAGAAGGAAGTGTTTTATTTTGAATGGAAAATGGATTTTTTTCATATGATATGTTCTATTTATGGCTCTCCCTCCCCCTGGTCATCCCAGATCCTCCCTACCCACCCAGATCCACACCTCCTCTTGTTCTTTCTTATTAGAAGACAACCAGGCACCCAAGAAAATAAAAACAAAAATCATAAAACGAGACGAAATAAAGCAAACCTGAATATGACAAAGTAAACAAACAGAAAAACAAAGAGCTGAGCAAAAGCTCCTGTAGAGACAGATTTGGGTGCACAGAAATTCCCTAAAACACAAAGTCAGAAGCTATAACATAGAAGCAAGAAACCTGTAAGTTAAGGGGGAAAAAAAAAGCCCAGGCAAAGCATTAAGAGATAAATAAGCATAAAAACAAAAAAGAAACACCTCCGAAAATATCACTGAGTTCAATTTCTGTTTGCCGTCTACTAGAGAAAACCAACTTTCCATTTGTGCGTGGTTCTCATTGGAGATAGCTTCCGGATTAGGGAAGGGGGCTTGTGTCCACACTCATCACTGGAGAATGTGTTCCTAACGGCCATCTCTCCAGCATCCTGGAATGAGATTTTGGTCACTCACTTGCAGGTTGGTGTCGGACAAAGTACTTCATGCTCAGTGCTTCCGTTTTCTGCACTGTAAGACAGGAACAGTGATATCAGACATGACACTCGGTTATTGGCGCTGTTGAGGCACACGCAGACTGTAGGATGGCTAGTGATTGTGTCTGTGACCAGAATATCCTGCTGTGTCCAAATTGACTGATGCCAAAGACACTGGAAATTTTCTGCTGTTGTGTGGCTCCTGCTTGGCACTCAGTCTGGAGGGCAGAGAAGAAGGGCTGCGCTGTAGCACAGCGAATCAAAACTGCAATCCCCATGGGCAATCCATCTGAAGGGTCTCTATTAACAGTTTACTAATGTAGAGCCAGGCATGAAACACCCTTCATCTCAGGAGATCACAGAGAAGCAAAATCTTGGTAGTTTTTCCGAAAGAAACCATGAGTCAATGCCTTGACACATAACCCCCTAGTTGAAAGGGGTAAAACGTAGAAACATAAGCATATTATAAAGGTTTTAGCCTGACCTGGTGGTGTACGCATGCCGGCCCAGCACTTAGGAGGCTGAGGCAGGGTAGCTGAGTTCAAGGTCAGCTCTGAATCCTTGGGGGATTGGGGGGAAACGACACCTGTTTCAAAACTAACAGCAACAAAACACTGAAGGCCCTGGACTGTGATCTTCTCAGTGGTGAATTGGGATTAGAAAACAGCCCTCTCCTCCAACCTGCCTCATGCTCTGCTTTTGTACACTGCATGGTTTTTCTATTTTTAGCCCACTTTTAAAAGTGAAAAGAACATTTCATAATGTGTGAACATTTGGGGAAACTGAGTGTCCATAAATAGCTGTGCTGTCTCCTGTCTGGTGTTTCTGTGTTTCCCAGGGAGAGTTGAATACCGGGGACAGATGGCCACTGTATGCTCACGGTGTCTTAGATGCTTGCCTTCTGACCTCTTAGGGAAAAGCCTGAAACAGTGGGTATTGATGAGCGAATTAGTGCACATGCGTGTCTCTTACTGTTTAGGTTCCCTAAACAGTAATTATTTTTCCTTTCCGGAGTAGTTCAAACTCTAGACTGGGATGAGAGCTTAATTAGTGTTTTTTTTTTCTCACTTTGCTCTGTATGTTGACTATTTTTTCAATTAAGATGCTCTTGTAGACGATTAAAAATTAGAGCTTTGCATTTTCAAAAAAAAAAAAAAAAAAACGCCGCAAGGAAACTCTGAAATCGGTTCCCATGACCCTGGAGAATCGCTACCTCTTTCTAAGTCATGGCCACATGCTCATGGGACACAGGCAGAGATTCAGGATTTGCCTTGCCCCGTCACACGGCATATCGTAGCTGTTAATAATTTCTGCTGAAGTAATTGGATGTATTTCAGGGTAGGACAGATGAACTCTGTTGGTGAGCGATGGCGATACTTTCTCAAGATCAGGGCAGAACGCAGAACCTTAAATTACATTTCTTTGTGTGTGTGTGTGTGTGTGTGTGTGTACATGTGTATATGAATGTGAGCATGTGCAGCCACTTGCCCCAGCTCAGGCAGAGGTCATGGGAAAACTTGCTGAAGTTGGTACACGTCTCCCAGCCAGCATGTGGGTCGGAGACACTGAGCTCAGGCCCTCAGGTGTGGTGGCAGGTGTCTTTCTCTGCCGATCCAGCTCTCTGCCATGAAAACAGAACTTTTAAAATACCAAGAACGTGTTCAATGTTCTAGAGACTAGTGGTCAAAGAGCATGACCGCTTTTCAGAGAAGCCAGGTTTTGGTTCCCAGCATCCACATGGCAGGATATGACTATCGCTATGGCGGTTCCAGGGGGTCCAATGCCCTCTCTGACCGCCTTAGGCACCAGGCACACACATGTGTACATATGGTGCACACATGTGTATTCAAGCAAAACATCCGTAGACACTAAATCTAAATCTTTTTTAAAAGTACACGCTTAGGGTCTAATGGTGTGACGTCTTATGAGAATTTTTGTCGTATGGCACACTAGGTAGAAGTCACAAACAAAGCGTTCATGGTGATGACACAGGACAACAGTCTTGAGGTTGCCCATTCTGCTCCCTTCTTTGTTTTCCGAACCGGGTTTAGCTGTTGGAGCACATACCGCTTTTCAAAGATAGGGGAGAAATTTGTCTATTATTTTTATCTTGCGTGTGTGGGTGTTTTGCCTGCACGTATGTCTGTGCATCGCATTCCTACAGTGCCTGAGGGGACCAAAGGGACCTCGATCCCCCTGGAACTGGAGTTACAGGTGGTTGTGAGCTGTCACCGAACCTGGGTTCTCTGCAAGAGCAACCAGTGTTCTTAACCGCTACATCATCTCTTTGCTCCTGGTTATAGTATTTTTTGATGAGATGAGTTTTTAGAGTATGGATGTTATGATCATCCAACTCAGAATTTTAAAAAATTAGCCTGTTTACATTTTCCTGCTGTTTCATATGTCATTTCGCACGGATACTTAAATTTTTTAAATGCTCAATTTAAAAAAATGAAATAAGAACCCAACAAGAACAGCATAAATTAAACAGCATCGCGGTGTGCTTAGGGAAATAGATGCTGAACAGGAGGCATTTGTCCCTGTGTGGTGTGTAAGCCAGCATGCTATAATTGAAACACTCCATCAAATCCCATGTCAGCCTCTTCTCATACCAATGCACTAAGAATACGAATCACTCATTCTAGTGATTCAGCAATGAATTCAAATGATCAAACCATTATTAATATCCTAAAATTAATCTACAGCAGTCATCTTAAAAACGGAATGTAAAGATTTGCTTTCACGAAGACAATAAGACATAGTAGAGAGCACAGAACATAATAAATGTAAAAGGTAGTCAAAGATAGTGTTCTTAGGACTATAAGGGCCAGCGAGATGACTCAGTGGGGAAAGCCTATGCTGCCAAGCCAGATGACCTGAATTCAAGTCCTGAGACCCACGTTGTAGAACGAGAGAAGTGACTCCCAAAAGTTGTCTTCTGACCTACACACGCGTGCATGCACACACACACACATGCACACACACATGCACACACATGCACGTTGTGGAAAGTGCATGGCTGTATAAAATACACACTAAACAAACAAACAAAACTGTAATTTTAAAAACTTTTAAAATAACTAAATTCCATGGGTTCCTGGAGTCAGGCTGACTGAATTATGTTGGTTTACGACTTTGAGAACTGTGGTAAATTTCTCAAGCTCTCCAGTCCTTATGCACACCATCTCTAGATTGGGGGTTATAGTAGGATATACTCAATGGGACCATTAAAAGTAATAAATGAGATCACATATCCAAAGTACGCAACAGGGAGCTGGAGAGATGGCTCAGCAGATAAAGGTATTTACGGCTTTCACAGAGGATCCGAGTTCAGTTCCCAGTACCCACATCAGGCAACTCACAGCCACCTGTGATCCCAGCTACAGGGGATCTGGCCTTTGTGGGTGCCCACTCCACACAGAGACACATACATATAATTTAAAAATCAGATAAATCCTGGCAGGACTGGAGAGATGGCTCAGTGGTTAAGAGCATTGGGTGTGCTTGCAGAGGACTGGGCTTTGGTTCCCAGCACCCACGTGGCGGCTAACAACGGCCTGTAACTAGAGTTGCAGCAGATCCAATGCCCTCAACTGGCCTCATGGGCACTGCACGTATGTGGTGCACATATAACCCTGCCACAAAAAACGTGCGTAGGCATAAAACTAAAATTTAAAAAAGAAACTTTAAAATAAAAATAATTCCTGAATACAAACAGGGTCTTTGGACGTTGATTCTGAAGATGGATGGCCTGTGAGTACCGCTGTCCTGTAATCTCCGTGTTCTCGTGGCTTTAATACTAAGGGACCGCGAGGACCAGTGTAAATAGGAAGCGTTCTTTTGATGCCACCAGTGCGTGTCCTAAGGCAATAGAAACGACTAGACTAAGACTGAGAGCTTCTTGCTCTCTTGCAGGTTCGAGCGTGGGCCTCTTCATCTACGCTGCTCTGCAGAGGATGCTGATAGAGTTCTACGGCCTGGATGGGTGCCTACTCATCGTGGGCGCGCTGGCTTTAAACATACTCGCCTGTGGCAGCCTGATGAGGCCCTTGCAGTCTCCCGCATGCCCTTTTCCTGAAAAAATAGCTCCGGAGAACGTTCTAGAGAGATACTCCACGCACGGTGAGAAAGAGAAGAGCCTGGAAGAAAATCTGAACATCTTGGACAAGGGCTACGGTACCGAAGATAAATGCACCAACACCTTGCCCAACGGTGACTGGGCACGGGACAACCCCCAAAACCCCACAGCCGCAGCGCACAAGAAGAAGGTTGTGGAGCAGACTTATTTTTGCAAGCAGCTTGCCAAGAGGAAATGGCAGTCATATAGGAACTACTGCGGCGAGACCGTGTCTCTTTTCAAAAACAAAGTCTTCGCGGCGCTTTTCATCGCCATCTTGCTTTTTGACATCGGAGGGTTCCCGCCGTCGTTGCTCATGGAGGACGTCGCGAGAAGTTCCAACGTGAGGGAAGAGGACCTCGCCATGCCTCTCATCTCCATCATCGGCATCATGACAGCCGTGGGCAAGCTTCTTTTAGGCATCATGGCTGACTTCAAGTGGGTCAACACCTTGTATCTCTATGTAGCCACCCTGATCATCACAGGCCTGGCCTTGTGTGCAATCCCCCTTGCCAAGAGTTACATCACCTTGGCGATACTTTCTGGGATCTTGGGTTTTCTTACTGGTAATTGGTCCATCTTCCCGTATGTGACCACAAAGACTGTAGGGATTGACAAGTTAGCGCACGCCTATGGGATCCTCATGTTCTTCGCCGGACTTGGGAACAGCCTCGGGCCACCGATTGTTGGTAAGACGTCCGTCTTCACGTCAGCTCAGTTTCTAGTTCCTCACGGTGACAGTTCCGGAGAGAGAAGTTCTCAGTAGTGAAGATGTGCACCAAGTAAAGTGGATTATTTCACGGTAGTTTATTCAAGGTTGTTTGGCTAGGGCTGCGGATGTAACCGGGCTGGAAGGGGGTTTGCCTAGCGTGCCGGAAGCTCCAGGTTTATTCTCCAGCTCTGTCTAAAACCAGGTGTGAGAGCCGCCCACACCTGTAACCCTAGCCCTTGGGAGTGGGAAGTTTAAGCTCAGCTTTGGTATATGGTGAGTGTTGGCTACATGAGACCCTGACTCAGTACACACACACACACACACACACACACACACACACACACACACACACACACCTGTGGTATACTTGAGAAAGCTGATAAATTTCCTCTGCTTTGTGCCCGCTCTTTATTTGGAAGAAACTAAAAATGCCTGCCTTAAATCTCAAGTTTTTAGAAGACTCCACTGTTTGAGTTATGTTGGAAGCAGGTGGGAGCAGACATATGTAACCACACACAGGCACATGTAACCGCACACAGGCACATGTAACCGTGCATAGGCACACGTAACTGCACGCAGGCACACATAACCACATACAGGCACAGGTAACCACACACAGGCAAACCTAACCATACACAGGTGTAACGGCGCAAGCGAATGCAGACAGATTGTCAAAATATAGACAGCTTTAATGGAGGAATAGACTTACAGAACCACCGTTCCGCGGAGACCAGGAAAGCAGAAGGGCTGGGGGCACGCTCGCCAAATTTATAGGCAAACTTTAGCCTGAGGCGAACACGCCCCCTGAGGGGTGGGACTTATCCCTACACACAGGCACACACAACCACAAATAGGCACACACAACCGCACATAGGCACACATAATCACATACAAACACTGCTTCTGTGAAAGTCACGCTCTTTTCCTCTCTGTTTTCTCAGGTTGGTTCTACGACTGGACGCAGACCTATGACATCGCCTTCTATTTCAGTGGCTTCTGCGTCCTGCTGGGGGGCTTCATCCTGCTGCTTGTCGCCTTGCCCTGTTGGGACGCGTGCGACAGGAAGCTCCCTAAGCCAGCGCCAACAGCCTTTTTCTACAAAGTTGCCTCTAATGTTTAGAGGGATATTAAGAGGCATTATTTCCTCTATTTTTCTACTTTATACTATATGTACACACACACACACATATATATATAGTATATATGAGTATGTGTATATACTGTATATACATAATTTAACAAATTGTTAGGCAGGTTCCCCAGAGTCAAGAGCTTAGAGCAACACTTCGGCTGACTCTGAAGGAGACCGTACTTCCACATAGCCTGTTTTTATGTACTGCGTGTGTAACCTTTACCCCTTGTACGCCCCTCCCTGAAGAAGTGGGACTGTTCTCTTTTACTGCTGTTGTTCGTGAGTTCAGGGTGTAAAGCTGTTGGTTCGCCTCGCCAAGTTTTCTCTGGGTGAAGAAGTTTTGTGTCTCTTTGCTTTCCCTGGGAGCTCTACCACACACAAGGTCTTAAACCACACACGTTCCTGTCTTAAACCACGCACGTTCCTGTCTTAAACCACGGAAGCTCCTGTCTTAAACCACGCACACCTCATGGCGGGATATTTGTGAAGACCCCTAAGGAATAATTGTCGTCTCCTCTATATCAGCCCTGCAAGTCCAGAGAAGACACTAAGCCATCTCACTTCCAGCAGTGAAAGCGGCAGTTACAATGTCACTAAGACTTCGAAGACTTTAGACAAGATTTTTTTTAAATCGCAGCTGCCTATTGTCGGTTTTCTGTTTTATTGTCCTTGTTGAAGCACTGTGGGACATTCGGTGTTCACTGTGTGTGAACTTGTTCAATTCCTCAGCAGTCTTTCTGCATGGCCGGCTCCCTAGGACCTCGCTCCCTGGTGTATTGGTCAGCATCCTCTCTCTGATGTCTCCTAAGAGCTGCTGACTTGCTGGTTTCCGGCTTGGAAATACACCTCTGAACCATTCCGTCGGGCAAGTGGGAAGCATCCCTAGCTTCCGTTTGCTTTGAGCGCCGTGGGAATGGGTTGCCAGGCCCTGCATGTCTTCCAAATGAAGCCGTGGTGCTTTCTCTTGGGCCTTTCCACTGCTGCATCTTAGTTTATGGACAGTGCTTAAAAAAAAAAAACACACACACACACAAAACAAAACCCCCCAAAAAGATAGCAACAACAAAAAAACCCCAATGCTCTATGTGTTTGTTAGACGTGGGGAAAGCCAGGGTGAAGAGAAATTGATATACTCATGCAACCTTCATTAATCCCAAGAATGTTGGAGGGCAAAAATAATGTTTAATAAATAGAAATGGGTTCAAGTTTGAGTTCAAACTTGAGAGAAACAAACGGGTTTCCTCTACAGAAACGGGTTTCACCTTCGCCAAGCTTCAGAATCCCCTACAGACCCTTCAGAAACTGAAATGCTTGGCACTATACTTTTAATTTTAATTCTGCATGTCGGCCCAATGATCCATATTTTAGCGAACTCTGCAGGGATTCTGGTAACAGGGTCCCAGGACAGCTGGAGACTGGCAACAGTGGGGGAGGGGGGCGTCTGTGCTGAAGATCTGGGGAGCAATGAGGGCACAGCACCTTAGGGGAAGGAACAAAAGAAAAGAAACAAAACAGATTGGCAATAGACAAACATTTCCTTTTCTTAAATACAAGCAAAAAAAAAAAAAAAAGAGACATCATGCAGTCAGGTATTTTAAAACAGATAGCCAAGGGTTTTTAAAGTAAGGGCTTCCTTCCTGTTGTGCCAAGATTGTCTTTTCATTTTTTAAAAAAACCGTGAGAGATTATTTTGTACAGCTACCTTGCCTTCTTTTGCGGACACCTGAAGCGTTTTGTTCCACCAGCCCCCACAGCGCCTTCCTGAGGTCAGTGACCAGCTGTGTCCCGTGTCATCAACCAAGGAGAAAGATCTAGTGTAGTCAGTTCTGTTCCGTGATGCAATAATGGGGCTCAAAGCACGTTAGACTTGTGCGCCACAATCAGACTTCTGGAAAGTTCTCTGTACCTCATTCTTCTGTCTATCAAAGTTAGTAAATTAAAAAAAAATAACTCCAGCTCTAGGGGATCCGACACCCTCTTCTGTCTCCCACAGGCACCTGTGTACCAGTGGCATACACACACACACACACACACACAAATAAATAAATATAAAAAACTTTAAAATTTATAGCTATGATTTTTTTTAAAGCAATAAATAAAATAAACCATATATGTGTTCATAGTCAAGGTCATGTTTTTGGTCAATATTGTGTTCAGGACATTCAGTGGCCCGAAAGGTTTGACTTGACTGGGGTCTGCATCCATCAATGGTGACAACTGCCCTCACCATCAATATCGCCCGTGTATGCACTAGCCACGGTCTAGGGAATGAATTCCAAGTTATGGTGAAATATTTTGGCTTTTTTTTTTTTTTCTCAGCGCTTTGTCTTCCTTCCGCGATGCAGTGACCCACCGTGGGAATGCACGTATATAGATTTAATTATGGATCCAGTTTCCCTCTAGACTGGGCCAGAGTGACTCCAACCCAGTGTACTTGAACTACTTTGACTCCTGAGTTGGAGGAGCTCATGTGTCAGCCCTGCAAGATCCTTCTTGGCACTGAGGAAAGGAGACTTATGACCTCACCAATTATACAGAACTTTCCTCTTGAGTGAGGGTCTCCCACTGCTCAGGCTGGTCTGGGCTCCGAGGCCTCAATGCAGTCTTGCGGGGCCTCTCCACTAGCTGAGATGCTAGGCGTGTAGGTACCACTGTGTCCCGCTTCCTCGGTTCGCCAATGTGTTCCTGGCTTATGCTGTTTCTCTCTTGCAACAGCCCTGGGATGTGGTAACTAGCTCTCCTGTTATAATACAAAATGGAACTGTCCTGATACGATCGCTCTAATGAAGAAGCACAAGGAGAGTAATTTCCAAGAGCAAAACGAGCCTGGCTCTCTTTGTGGAGACTAAAGCTGTCCCTCTGATGCCTAAAGTGGGTGGGAAACGGTGTGCAGCCAGGGAGTTTCTGCCGAACCCGATGTTCCAAGAACGAGCATTTAAAACGAACGTCATACATTTATTCTGATCCGAAGCGAGTCTCCTGTGAATAGAGATATTTCCGGACATGGAAATGTTGTAGACTGAGTGTGTGAAGGGTGTGGACCGGGGGAACTTGTCTGTGATGCCCTACCTACCAGTGTTTAGCAGTCAGCCCCCACCTGTCCTTTCTCTGAAGAGCCAGGTGCTGGTCTAATTCTCCCCAGGGAGTCGTGATTTCACGAGGAGATAAAGTCAGTGTTTAAAGTCCGTGAGGAACAATCCCTAAGAGTCAGCACTGGTTGGTCATGACTCTCTCTCTCCCTCTCTGTCTCTGTCTCTGTGTGTGTGTGTGTGTGTGTGTGAGAGAGAGAGAGAGAGGCGTTGATGGAGAAGGTCTGTGGCCTCAAACCGTCTCAGCTGCTCCCAATCAACACAGGATTATCTTTACACTGGAGGCTCCAAAAATGAAGAAAAGAGCATTTTGGAGAGTGCCTCCCTTTTACTTAGATGGAGCATTGCCTCCAGTTAGCACAGGCGGTGCATTTTCTCCTCCTTAATCACCGTCTTGGTCCCTTGGTTACGCGGTCAGCTGGGTCTGATGGATGCCAGCTCTGACACCCGTCTTTGAGGAAGGAGTGACCCACAGCCGATGGCCGTGATTGGAGGTGTGTGGACCACGTGGAAACATTTGGGATGCTACATCTACAGCTTCATCATCCATGACCAGATGGCCCAGGCTCCGTCCAGTTCAGCCCCTGTGTCTGGGTGACTATGAGCATCTTGTTGGCGTCTCAAGATGCTGTTTTCCTCTTTTATAAATATCATCTAGCTAACCTGAGAATTAGGTAAGATGACACACGGAGGTGACTGGATTATTTTTATTCTGCCTCTGTTCTCAAGAGCATGGCTTGTCCCGTAGGAGGCAGCATGTGTCCCTGGGCACAGGTGGGTAATGTTTGCCCTGCCGAGTTTCTCTTAGAAAAGGATTAAGAAACCTTCTGTTGTCCCCTGCTTGTAGGAATGCCTCAGCTCTTGCCTTCCCCCCAAGCAGGCTCTCGTCAAAATCCTCCGGGGAAAGGGAACCCTGACTCAGCACATTTTCCTGGCTCTGCCATTCAGAAGCTCTGACACAAAACAAGGCAAACAGAACCAAACACAGGCTGTTCCTCCGCAAACCAAATAGGATCCACTGTGTAAATTGAATTGCTACGGGAGCGTGGACTTCTATTTATTTTTCTTCAAAAGCCTTCACGCCAGCTGCTCGGAAGGTGGGCCTGGAACTGGGCAGCGAGCAAACCCAGCTGATGTGTTTACTGAGCGCTAATTGCCTTCAGCTCTGAGTCCCCACCCCGCCCCTTTCCAGGATGCCCTTGTGATTTACTGTTGAACGCAACTCTAGGCCAGGACTTCTGGGATCTGGCTCCTCAGAGATTTCTCAGCTGCCTGTTTGCTTCCTACCACAGAGCTCGGTGGTCAGACTCATTTATCTTACACCTTCTCCTTTTAAGAAGAAAGAAAGGGGCGGAGAGATGGCTTAGCGGTTAGGAGCACTCGCTGTTCTTGCAGAGGACTTGGATTTGGTTCCCAGTCCAACTACCTCTAACTCCAATTCCCTTGTCTGGTCTCTGCCGTCGTCTGCACCCACATGATGCTGCTCATAAACTCACCTACACACATACACATAAAAAGTTTAATAAATACATAAATAGGAGGAAAATGATACATCTCTAAAAACACTTTAACTTTATTGTTCTTCTTTTTTCTTTCTTTTTCTAAGTGGCATTTTTTTAAAAGATTTATTTATTTATTGTGTATACAAGTATTATTTCTACATGCATGCCTGCAGGCCAGAAGAAGACACCAGATCTCATTATTGACGGTTGTGAGCCACCATGTGGTTGCTGGGAACTAAACTCGGGACCTTTAGATGAGCAGGCGGCGCTCTTAATCACTGAGCCATCATCTCTCCAGCCCTCTACGTGGTATTCTGAAAGCTTTACTAAGCAATCTGACTAAAAGATAGCACAGTACCATCTGGCTGTAAGGACCCTTAGCGCTCCATAGTCAAGGGGCATAGGTAGGCTCCTCATGGGAATGTTTTGGATTATAATAAGACAGGTTATTTTCAGGGCAGAGCTCAGAAAAATCTGGAAGATCTGAAACTTTGCTAGGATGCTGTCCACAGGTCATAAAGAGAAAGGCACTTTTTCTTCCTGTGTGCAAACAGTTTCATGGTTCATTTCTCACCAGAAAGCCTCACTGAAGACAGACGCAATCCAGCTCAGGGCTGTAGCGTGGAAACAGTGTTCTCAGAACACCGTGGTAGGGTGAATCTGGGCCTGCGTTTGTTCAGGAGGACCCAGGTATTTCGCAAATGATATCTTGTCCCGATTAAGCTCCAAAGGCATTCTACAAGGCTATGAGCTGACTACCAAGAGGTCTCCAAGGACATTTGGGGCCTGGCTCCCTCCCGGCAGGTCTGGGTGGTTCACTCCAATCCATCCACTTAGGACACGTGCAGGCTCAGACTATAACTGCGAGCCAGGCAAAGCTCAGAGGGCGAAGGAAACAAGACAGTGTGTGGTCTTCTCCAGAAATCTGGTCGTCTCTGAGAGTGACGCATGCCTCTGCTTGCTTCACGGTGTGCGTAACCTTTGAAAGAATAATGTTACCCGTATTCCTGGCAGCATGATTACCAAACGCTTCTTTGTGGCCCACGTGTCCTTGCATGACCTGCTCACATTCGTTCTGCATCCTTGAAAATAGCCCGTCTCAGTGACAAGGGCACCCATTGCCTGCCACTCAGGTTTGTTTGTGCGTCGTAGTTTCTGGTAGGACATTTCTTCTGTCATAGTTGAGTGCTGAACACCTTTTTTCTTGTACGTAGTTAGGGGTAATTGAACTGATTCTTATTTTATTTACTTATTATTGTGTAGATGCATGATGTGTATGTGTTTGTGAGTGTACATGCATGTGTGTGTGTGCGTGTGTGCACATGTGCAAATATGAACCTGCCAAGAAACACGTTTAGGAATTGGTTCTCTTCCATTGTGGGCTCAGGCAGTGAACTCAGGTCATTCATTCATTCATTCATTCATTCAACTTTTATGGGTATCTTTTCTTCCTATCTTGTATATCTGTGCACTGTGTGCATGCCTGCAGAAGCCAGAAGAGAGTGTCAGATCCCCTGGGACTAGAATTAAAGTCGGTTGTGAGTTAAAGGTGAGTTTAACCACGCAGGTGCTGGGATTGAACCTGGGTCCTCTGTGAGAACACACAGTGCTCTTAATCACTGCACTGTCTCTCTGGCCCCTAGGTTTCTATTTTTAGAGACACTTTGTTACATGAGTAAAGTCCAAAGTGATTTCCCCCACTTTTTCATTTATCCTTTTATTTCGTTTATGATCTTTGACCTTGTTAGAGCTTTATACATTTTTTATATTTCAATAATTTTTGTCATAGGTTTTTCCAAATAGATTTTGAATGCTTATAAACATGTTTTAAATTTTATCTATCTACTGATTTCCAGTGTTGCTTTTTTTTATGGCTAAGGACCTGATTTCAAACAAAAATTTAAAAAACGAGCCTTTGTGTGAGCATGTGCCTACTTCACACACAAGTATGCGCACACAAATACCTAAAAAGATATATATATATATATATATATATATATTTTGGTTTTTCGAGACAGGGTTTCTCTGTGGTTTTGGAGCCTGTCCTGGAACTAGCTCTTGTAGACCAGGCTGGTCTCGAACTCACAGAGATCCTCCTGCCTCTGCCTCCAGAGTGCTGGGATTAAAGGCTTGTGCCACCACCGCCTGGCCCTAAAAAGATATTTAAATCTGATTTAAGTTTAACTGGCCATTAGAGTTTGGGGTGATGGTCACGAATAAAGTGTGTCTGGAAGCATGAGAACCAGACTTCAGCTCACCAGCATCCCCACAAAAACTGCCTGGGGGCCTTGTAACCCCAGCACTTGGGAGGCAGAGACAAGGACCCCTGTGACAAGCTGGTTGCCTAGACTAGTTGGAATACGACAAGAGACCTGCTCTAAGATTGGCTTTGGGCAGCCAGGCTCCACCATATAGTTCCCTATGGTAAATGCTTTCTCCGTTGATAAACCTTGAGATTTATTTTTTAAATAATTATTTATTTTTATTTTATGTACATTGGTGTTTTGTCTGCATGTATGTCTATGTAAGGGTGTCA